GTGATTCGTGGTGATGATGACGACCGTTGCTGAGGCTCATCCAACCCGCTTTGGAGCCGCTGATAATTTAGAAGTAGAAGCAATGCTGCCTAGATCTATGTCGTCAGCGTATTTACATCTGATAAAGTTAGGAGGAATTGGAATCATTTCGATGTATAAAGAGAATGGAGGGGGGAGGGGATTGCTCCTTACAAAACGACCCAGACATCACGAAGAGTGGATAAATTTTTAGCGTTCAGTTGAGTGAACTGAGAGGAATATAGGAAGTAGTTGCTAATCAGGTATTACACTGCTAGTTAAACACTATTCACAGAGAGCTGATGCAGCAGGATTCACTTGTCGAAATTTGCAAACGCGTTAGGGCAATTAAGAAGGAGAAGTCACACAGTTTGGCATTCGCATCCAATGCATATGCTATTGAATGACAGTCGCAACGACACTGGACATTAACGTGGTGCGACGGCTCGCGTACCTCCTAGACCCATGGAGCTATACCGCGTAGTGTCCCCGCGCCCCTTGAGAGCGACTCCTAACAGGTTGGTCAATAGTTAGAGGTCAGACAAACTCAGTCTCCCGTTTTGAGGTTTTGAAATGGGATGGCGTCCATATAACTGTAAAATTTAATCGCTGTCCACTCCCCGCTGCTTCGCGTACAGACTTATGAGCCAAAGGCTTTGGTTAAAGACCCTAAACGTCCTCCTGTCTAGGTCTGGGCGTCCTGTCAGTATCTCAACCCTACGTACAACTATGACTTATTATTCAAACGTCAATCATATCCTGCATCGGCCGTAGCGCAGATTATCAAGGGTCGCTTTACCTGCGGCATACAGTAAGGCGGATAAGCGAAAACATGCTACTGCTGGCACCTCCCTTCTTTCTTTTCCACCTTTTTCTCTTACTCCCATCCCGGTCCCCATTACTAACCTTCCCTTATATGGTATCGATCTCCGTTCTTTTTCCTTATCTTTAATTCCGTTGTTGATTGTTGAGTAGTAGATCTTATACATATTGCTGATGTGTTAGTACCACAAATGGGGATTTTCCGGGATTGGTGAGTGTAAGTATAGAGAAAAGGTTTATGTGGAAAAGAAAAAAAAGGGACTTTTTAGGTGCCAAGCAGCTAGAGTAGAGATAAAAGGTAGATGTTTTGTGCCTTATCTCACGCCTTACTGTATTGCCGCAGGTAAAGGCGACCCTATGGATATACTCTGCGTACGGCGCAACGGTAATTGCAGGATTATGATTGTTTGACTCCGTTTGAATAATAAAATTAGTACCAAGGTTGTACGTAGGTGTTGATGGATACGGGACATGGGTTGACGCCAACCTATCACTCAGGGATTCCTAGACAGCTGTAGGACGTGGTTTAGGGATTTGAAACCAAAGGCCTTTGGCTCATAATGCTCTGTATCGTCGACTTATCGGTCATGTCGGGTGAGTGTGGGATGACGATGTGCGATTAACTTTTACAGTTATATGGATACCAAAATCCATTTCAAATAACCTCAAATAAACAGGGGAGATCTGAGTTTTGTAAACTGACCTCTTAAAGTATTGACCAGACCTGTTATGGAGTTACGACTCTCAAGGGGAGCCGCTACGGGGCGACACTACTGCTGGTATAGCCTCCATGGGTTCTTAGGATGGTACGCGCGAGCCGTCGCAACAACCGTTAAGTTCCAGTGTGTTTGCAGGGACTGTCATTCAATAGGCATAGGCATTTGGACTGCGAATGCCAAACTGGGTGTACTTCTACCTCCTTAATTGCCCTATAACGACGTTTGCATACATTATACGATCGAATAGTAGTGAATCCTGTCTAGCCGGTAGGCGGGGATTTTGTCGAGCTCTCTATGTGTGCAGAAATAGTGATCATCAGGAGCTAGCAGTGCTACCTGATAATGCCGAAACCTGATGGACGGCTATTACGTGGACACATCGTAACTATCTTTCCTTATTAGTTCGTGCTAAACTCGAGATTCACTGCACATCAGAGACACTGAAGGGGGTCTAACAGCATATTATATCAGCAGAAACGTACTATGATTGATATGCTGAAAAACTTCTGTCTGGTGCCTAACTCACAGAGTACGCTCCTGCTCTCTCCAGGCACGATTAACTTGGCTAAAAGAGCATATCCTCGAACAGGCTCTTCAAAGCACGACGGCCTGCCGATTCCTGTAGCCGCTTTTTAGTCACGTACATGCGAAAGATTCTGCAATTCCTCGGCGTAAACATACTCACAGATGTAAATAGCGGCTGACGACATAGATCTGAGTGGCAGCATTTGGCTTTCAATAGCCGATCTAAGATTCATCAAGACGCTCAAAAGCGGGTGGATGAGCTGACGATCGTCCTCCAGGACTGGGCATTACTCATCATCACAACGATCCCCTCTCAACACTATTCCCAAGTGTCATGACTTGAGCCTCCTCAAACATATCACGCTGCGATTTATCGTTAATACACTCTCTACTCTATTTCTTTAGCACTGCGTTTAGAAAACATCACACTTCATACGGACGGCATTGAGAAGTGTTGAAATGAAGTTGTGATCCCGTAGCGTCATCCATCAGTTCTTCCCGGTTAGCCGCCTGCATGGTCCGTACGATCCGGGACGCACGAAGGCCACACCTCACTATGGCCGTATGCCTTGACGTGAATCTATGCAGATACTCAGGTTCATAGGCTTAGACTTTTTGTTTGGTGTATCTAGACTTTTGTATAGTCTTATACTGAATTAACCTTTCTGGTTATGGTCTACGCACTACCAGTAGTCGAGGGCCTTAACATACTAGCAGACTTCGTGAAAACTAAGCAGGTGTTGTCTATGGCAGTCTCTCTCATGCCCTGTCGGACTACAATGGAGGTTTAAAAATTCATGGTCCTCGCACTGAGTCCGCAGTTCGAACTAGTAGCTTTTCCGTCAGTCCGAGAAAGTAAGCAGCTATCTTCCAACTTCGGTATTCTTCTATCCCAAAGTAATTCACGATGGATGATTATCAATCACGTACGCAGAACTAGCAGCGGTATAATTAATCGTCAGATATGTCGGTATACTAACAGCGTCCTACAATTCCTATATACCACTGGTTTATCGTCCACACAGATGGTTAAACATACAACTTCAGGCTTTTCGTCTGGTAGTTTAATAAGCCTCATTTTATTGTCTGATAGATCCAAAACAAAACTTATCTTCGTCACAGTATTGCTAAAACCGTATTATTTAGCATCGTCAATAGCCTGGAACCTGAAGCTGCATTGCATGATTGGAGTTTGGTCATCGTCGCATGCTCTCTAACTTCTGGACTATTTTTCAAAAATGTCAGGTTTTGCATTTCGTCAAAGTTGACATCGATGTTCTCTTCAGAAGCCTCTCGCGGCACAAACATCCGAAAGTGCTAGTGCGCAAGAGAAACGTGAAATATGTGTCACTTGTCCCAGTCGGGTGTTATCCTTAAGTACCATAATCTTTGCATTGAATTACTGACTGATTTTTTTTCTTAGCACAATTGTGATTAATAGTCCTACCACCGAGGCAAGCGAACGCAGCTTCTCACAGAATAAGGACAGTGAGTAACATGATGCATCTTTTGGGGTCGGTAGCGAATATATCCAATCACTCTGTCTGTCTCATGCTTGGATCAATCGACTCTGTCGCTAACTTAGCGATCGTCCCAGCTTAGTCTGAGCGGCCGCTGCTCTTCAACGCCCAGTCAGTACTTGTTTCATCCAGAGATGTACTCGGTCTCTCTCTCTCTTCCTACGCTGTCAACATTCTCAGCATGTCCATCAAACATGTCATATTCTCTTTATTCACATTGAAGCTGTTTGTAACTAGACATGAACTCCGGAGCACCGTTACTAATTCGCTGCTACGATCTTCTTGACACACCGTACGATACGTGTCTTATTTAAATTTTTAGCCAGCAAATCAAGCATCATGTCCTACGAATGTCCCAACTCTTAAGGACCAATTAAATTTCACAATGAAAGTATCTGTGTAGAACCGTTTTCTTGTCGTTTCAGAATAATCGATACCTCCTATCGTCCATTTTTCAACCCGGGCTGATTACCAAATTGCTCAGATCATGTGGCTTATGGCTAGCACACACCACAAAGTTTTTATCGTCTCTGCCATAGTTGGACTTTTACTGTCCCTACATACCTTTTCCAACTTTGAATATTACAGCGTAATTTATGAAAAATTGCTTACTAGCGACGGAAAAGCTCTGGCAAACCTATGAAGCCCATTTTCAGACGCTTGTTTAGTAATGAACCCAGCTTGGACATTCAGGAAGGTTACCAACAGTTTCGCCTCAAATCCCTTTCGGTGCGACAACCAAAACAAAGCTTAATGCTCCCGCACATTCTGATTAGTCAGAAGAATTACTCTGATCTGTGCACCTTTAGGTTGCAATCTTGTTTCACTGTATGGATTCTTAACAACAGTTATACATTATCTGTCCAAATAGCCGGGACCGGGTTTTCGCTGTATTTTCCTCCTTGTCAGTAGCTACGCTGTTCTATGGAATCGCCTTCCAACCACTACCAGATATTATGCGAACGCACAAGCGTTCCGCGATAAACAGGAAGTTATCTTGACAAAAGCTAGGTGTTACTTTTGTCTGGAAAGTCGCCCAATAAATTCTACCGAGACGGGTCCAAAAAATTACATGTAGACCCGGTACTAACAAAAATCCTTGGTCTCCAAGTTTTCCGAACTGTTATCTTACTCATGCAGGAGTATGATCATAACTACACTTAACTGCCTTTCCCTGTTGCAGGATCATCCTCCCGTGCACTCGAGGGACATGATTTCTTTTATTATTTCTTTATTATCATGCCTTAGATGGCAACTCTTCGAATTTCCTAGTCAAAATTAGGGTCTCTGCACAACACAATCTGCGTTCACCCATTCTAACCAATCATTCAGTATTCTTTACTCATTTTTCCTTTGTTTTTCATCTGTAATTACTCATTTTCCCTTCTCTACTCAGATCAGCGTCCGCATACGTGTGAACGCTGTTCCAAATCATTTGTTGACAAATCGAGCTTTCAAAGACACCTCCAATTTGTTCATTTGAGTGAGTAGTCTGTTACTGAGCTTTTTATTTTTTTCATTTGTGTTTTTGCATTGGTCATATCACATGTCTTTGGTGGCATCCACCATATCGCTTGTTAATTGCCGTTGAACAATTGTAGCATTGCAGATATTTCATCGAATGTGCTGCCAAAAATTGTTGCACCGTTACAGGAAGTTCCTTACCGCATACAAAATGCGACTGTACGGTATGCCTAATTTTATTTTTTGCCACTAACATACTCGTGATAAATGTAACTTGTTGTGCGGTTATCCATGCTGATATCTTATCGGACTGATCTTGGATGCGACCTGAACTGAATTTAGAAGAGTGGGTTCGTCAAGGAACGATACTTCACTGTGGAAAGGTCCAGGATATCTCGAAGGTGTGTGTGAAAAGCGGTAGTGGTGAGAGAATATAACCATACTAGTCGATTGAATTTATGCTTTTGGTCTTTAGAGACAGACATGACAGTTAATTGAACTCCACCCTAGCTCCTGCCAATGGGCACGGGCAATGATCTCTCGTCCGATTAGTAAGGATGTGACGCCTACATTAGGATCCAATGATCACCGATTCGAATCTAGCTTGGTGTTTCCGACCTCCTAATATATCAACTGGTGTCTGTTGGTGGACGCTTGCCAGCTAAGTGTCGGTGTGGTGTGCCGACGTGCTGCTGCTGTCTTCTTTCCACTTAATGCACCCTGAATTCTAATGAGAAATTAGAATGACTGGTACTTTGTCATTTAGCTTACCACAGCATTAAATCGTAGATAATGGCACATACCTTTTCCATATCTATTTCTCTTGATGAGAGATGACTACACAGTATCCATTCATTCATTTATGCACTGTACACGTTAGCTGCAGGCAGAAAACACCTTAGCTATTGTATCGCAATACAAAAGAACGGAAAAGAGGACATGAAGCTGAGTATTCAACAGTTTGCGTAATAGCTCGTCAAATTTATTGCTGTATTCTCAACCTTTTTGTGCTACCATTGGAACACACCTATTCTGAGCAATCATTCCGCATTATATGCTTGTTTTCAGCTCAACGCCCCTATGTATGTGAGCGGTGTAACAAATCTTTTGCTCAAATACATATCTTACAAATGCATCTCAAAGCTGTCCATTTGCGTAAGTGCCATCGGGAGACTATTTAATTTTGATTTATCACATTCGTTGTAACCCGATTGATCATATCGAGTGGCTTTGGTGGCATAACCCATTCGCTTTTCTGATGCTTATTGTTATTGCTCTCATGACTCAAGTGTTCTTTGTAATACTTCGCTAATCGTTGTTTTTTGAACTAGTGGATTTGAGTTGCGACGAATGAACATCCGATTATACGTGTACTAGTCGCGAGGGTCTGTTCGATTGTATGCAGCACATTTGATTAGACATAGTTCTTGGTCAGTGTCTTAGGAAGACTTGTTATTTTAGTGCGAAAACATTTGAACCCATGGTGTACACCAGAGGCATTAGATCGTTACAGGAACATTATGATTCCAACATGGTACGTTTGCTTCTGTCTCCTCGCTAATCGAGCGGAACTGGACTTCCTAATTCTGGTGGCTCACCTAGTTTTCCTTTAAAACTCTGCTGCGTTAACTTATTAATATCAAAATGCTGTATGGCTTTACGACCACTGGCAAGGAAAGTTTTGACACCTGAGGGTCATCCACTGTCCTCTGAATGGGCGGTAACCTGCAATGCCGTGGAGCATAAGTCCCGCTATATCCCACTTAGCTTTCAACTTGTAGCGGTCGGTCACCCTCACCCATGAATCGGTGTTATACCTTACTGGCTAGTTGACGTAAGCTGCTAGCGGTCACAAGTTCGGTTCCCTTAAGGGAACCGTGGAAATGCGCACTACTGATGGGCTCCAATAAGACGAAACGATTGCCTGATTCTGTTCCGGGTTGGTACTTGACCTTTCTGGATTGCAATCTAGTTGCGATGACCTGTATCGGTCTGAACAAAACTATAAAAGGACGAGTAATGCAAGATGACACCATTTCGTGTTATCTGATCACCTGCGGACTAACAGTATATCTAGATCACGTAAGGGAAGGAACCGACCGTTTTCAATTGGTCAGAAAAAATGCACACAAACACAAAACAACAGATGGTTGAGCTGAGACAAATGTCATAAACCCCAAGAAAGGTTAAGGGCTACTGTCAGTTGCTTTTGTACTCAAACAGTAGGACAGTAGCGATTCGGATTCACAGCCTCGGCAAACTTCAGTACTCTGGCGTTTTCGTTTCGGTAGACAACCATAAAAGCTGAGACAGGGTCGACTTGATGACCTGTACTTATTAGATGTCTGGCGATGAACGATGCCGGTAGTTTACCTGTTGCTCCTTGTCCGGTTGCTTGTTGTGCCATCAGCCCAGCAATTTACTTCGGAATATGCTCTCCAGACTGCTTACTCAGAGAACGATCTGTTTTGCCAATGTAACTGCTTTCGCAGCTACAGACGAATTTGTAAATGCAATATGTTGTGTCAGAGACCGGTTGAGTAAGTTTGGTTGGAGCCATCGACAGCTTTCTGGTTGTCCGGATTGGACAGAGTTTGGCAGCGCTGAATGTACGGCGAATAGCTGTGTTCACTCCTCTTTCAAGTTGCACCGTCACCGCATTGCCTTTGAAGGATGACTGTGTTGAATGCGTCTGGATATCGATTGACCCATAATGTCTGTGTGATGAACGATAACTCCGACTCCGCACAGTCGGCACTGCATATTTTACAGGTTCGATTGAACAGTGTCTTGACAAAGTAACGCTTGTGTTGGACCGCCGCGATGCTCTTGTAGTTCTCATACACAGGTCAGTGCATGAGGTTTTCCTGTAAACATAGCCTTTTGTCTTACCATCGTCTCGTCTTGTCAACAATACACCTAGAAAAGCAAGCCAATTATTGCCTTCTAGTTCACAGCTGTAACGGACGTTGGGATGTGCATTGTCGAGCACACTGAGAAGAGACTGAGCAGTCTCTACACTTGGGGCAATCACTAAGGTGTCATCCTGTATAGGCATATCTGGTTTAGTTAGGGTTCATACCTCGATTCCACTATTGCCATTAAAATATAAGCCAGTACCGGACTTCGCATAGTCACATCATCTGCCTGTCGATATACTTGCTCCTCGAATACGAAATGCACATAATGGCAGCTAATTCGTGTGACATTCCACTGGAATTGGCAAGGCCTGAATTACTTCTATATCCCAAGGCTACTTTTCTATTCGTGATAAGTTCGCACAAGAAGTCCACTGTTTCTTTTGATGGAATATTGGTGAACGAAGATTCTACGTTCATAGAACACATAACCTTGTCGACAATATTCACATCCTACAAACTATCAGTCCTATGAAAACAGTCTTTCATCATACAGATCGCCATCATTTGTCTCGCTGGTGCAAGCATGGCAACCAGCCAACGTGCCAAATTGTGGTACGTGGGAGCTGCACATGGAGACTATCGGACTTCGTGTGTTAGCCTTGTGAATCTTTGGGAAGCCGTATATTTGAGGAAAGCATGTATCCATTGGCTTAAGGGAGTTTTACACCGTTTCTGATATCATACCGTGTTGTCGAGCGTTGCTCGCAGAGCCCGACAGGCTAGTGATAGAAGCTCGTCCTCAACTGCTAGTTTCCACTCTCAGCTCAGACTACTTCTACCTGAAGATTCCACATCCGGTTGAAACCGATCGTGAATTGACGACAATGGAAATATATCTCAGATTGCAATCCATACTAGTCAGCTATCGATCCCTTGGCTCTTTGGCCTAGGTTGCTGCTCAACCCATTGGTCGTGCACTGTACTTCTGCCAGTTTCGGCAACTGGCTGCGCGACAAACTTTCACGTCAGCAGTTCGGCTCTGGTTGACAGCTTGAAGAGAATGTGATCGGTTTTACCGGGATTGCACAGGAAGGGGAATAACCGACAACGTTTCTTGCTAACCCGTTTAATTTACGAAAATGAACGCACAAGTGTTTGTGTTGTTACGTTGGTTTCTCGAGTGTGTTCGTCTTTGTAGTTGGATAATCATCGAAATTCACTTCGATCTCCATTCATTTCCATCCGTCATAAATTCATTGGTATAAGTTCACCCTATATGTGTGTAGTACACTGGTTTCTGAGTTTGACATTCTTGTTAAAGCCACACAACATTTGCGGATTTCTCATTGTCTGGACTTTTTACGCTGCGCCATCCACGACTCCGTCCACACATCGGATATTTATTATCAGGCCGACGGCGAAACTAGTTTTGGAGCCTATCAAAAAGGCGGCACGGTCGATTTGGAGTTGTGCTGTGTCATCTCACTACACTCTTTAACGATCTAGTGAGAGTTATCACCACGAAATTTTCACTCTTCGCTGACGACCTTTAGGTTTGTTGGGCGATCAAGGGAGTGAACAACCACGAGATCCTCCAGCGCGACCTCGATGAATCATGGCACTGATCGGTGAGGAAGGTAGTACCATTCAATGTACACAAGTGCCATGTTGTCCTCATCCGCCATCGACGCACTTGCATCTACAAACTTGGTGCACACGATCTGTATACAAGCTCTCAGACACGTGATCTCGGTGTGCCGGTACAGGTCGACCTCGATTGTTCCAGGCAGTCAGAGTCCGCTCCAAAAATTGGTAACCAACATCTTGGTCTCTTGCATAGGACATTCGGTATTTTAAATTCATCCCTCTTCTCTCTGATGTTCCATGCGTACTTGCATTCCAACGTCGAATACGCTGTCCAAGCTTGGCAACCTTGACTAAAGTGTGACCTTGCATCGATCGAAACTCCTCAACATCTAGCAGCGAAATTTATTAAGTTTTTGCGCAATCTTCTGTACCATCAACGACTGGTGACACTCGGAGTGTTTATTGTATGCTACTGGTGGCTACATGAAGAATTCATATCGGGTTTTGGAGTACCTGCAGTGTGTCATGGATTGTGACATGCACAGTTGTGGCCTCGGTTGGCTTTGAAGTCAGCCTATGGCATTCCCGATCACTGGTTTCGATGTTGCTCTCACCCGTTCCTGCACTCCACGACCGACCGGTTTCATCCTGTACTCATTAGGTAGAGATAGCGTAATTTGGGTCTGGAGCTTAGCATGTAGTGGTCAGCGGTCTTCACCATATTAGTTTACTAAATACTAAGCGACCCTAGTTCTGTATGTCGCAACCTTTCGAAACAACCCGAACACCAACCTCAGAGGAAGTACTCTGGATTTGAGTAAGCAATACAATCGTCTAGATTGTCGACGACCTTAGAACGCCTTTCCAAACTCAGTTGTCTGTTCACCCACTTTAGCTATTTTCAGAAAGCGTCCGGATATCGATTTGAACACCTTACGCTTTATTACGTGAACAGTGACGCATGTTAATCTGTGCTGTGGGATGGGTAATCTGCTTGTTATTTGCACAGAATATTACCATATAACATCTTGTTATTTCTGACAACTCCCTTTTACCGATGTGTATTTGATTTGCTCCACTTATGTGGTTTTCGAATTTCTGTATTTTATAGTATTAACCGTTCCATTGATAGCTAACTATCTGTATGATGTACTATATAGTTCGAGAGCCACGCGTAAACTAGATCCACGGAGCAGTCATGCGAGGCCTTCCTATGGGCCGTCAAAGAAATTCCATATTAAACCCTGCAGTTGTCACAGAGACAGCAGCTTGTATTGTTGCGATGCGTTGACGATTAAGTCAAAATATAGCCGTAACAGTCTTCAAAATACTGTGTGGATTCCCGGCTACTGGTGTGTGAAGTTTTAACACCTGTGGACTACCCGTTATCCCCTGCACGGACAGTAACCCACACGGCAGTGGAGGATAGGTCGGATTATTTCGCAGTTAGATTCCAACCCATGATTATCAGCTAGCGTCCCCCCATCGCTCAGTGGCATATGCTTCTGGCTAGTAGTGCAAGTCATTAGCGGTCGTGTGTTCGATCCCCAGCAGGGAATCGAAGTAATACGCACCACCAAGTCTCAAGAGGATAACACGGTCAAGGAATCAGTCCGGATCGTCGTTCTGTGTGTATGCCGTCATGACACATAGCTTCCCCTGTACATGGGATGGGAATCACTGTTTTGGACCGGCCATTGATTTCGTAGTGTCCATACTTATAGTATCCTACTTGTATCAAGCTGCCTACTGGAAACTCCTGTGCGCTGGAAACATTTAGTTCTCTTCTCAGGAAAGATTTCCACAATGCGAAGTACACCAATTCTCGTGTTCGTAGTTTATAGGTCATGGATTCAAGCATGTTTTGCTCCGAAATTGAATCGAACACCTTCCCTTGATAATCTCCCTTTTCAGATTTTGGACTATAACGAAAACTTGTTAGTCAGCCTCAACTTCCGTACGCATCCTAACCACTCATTCCTTTCGGTTCATCTGTAAAAATTTCTCACTTCCTCTTCCCCTATTCAGATCTGCGCCCCTACACATGTGAGCACTGTACCAGGACATTTGCTGCGAAATCCAGCTATCAAAGACACCTCCGAGCTATTCATTCGAGTGAGAGTAATAGTTTGTTGCAGGCTTGATTCGATTTTCATACAAATTGGGTTGTGACAGCCCTGCTCATATCACATGACTTCGATGGCATTCATCACATTGTTCGCTTAATGGTTGTTGTTTTGTTACTCTCACAACTCAGATGTATGCTACTTGACAGATTTCTCAGTTTTCTCAAGTCAGACGGTTTGGCGTAAGACCAGTCAGCCTTTTAGATTATTTGGTTTCTTGTGTGGCCGTTATCGGTGTCTGGATGTTTACATTTGAATTCTTTCGATTTGAGCAGAAATGGTCTGTAGTCATCCGTTCGGTTGCATTCACTCCCTTTGGACACGGAACACCGTATTGTGGGTGCTATAGCAACATCATTTGTTCTTCAATTTCTCATGTTTCATCGTAATATGTTTGAGTCTCATTTCATTACCAGTTTCTAATCGTTTTGTGTGTCAGGTAGTCACGGGAGGAAGACTGTCTTTGTTGTGAACTGTTACTCAGATATTGCTAACACCTCAATGGCCTCGGGTTCCATACCTGCTGTCTCTGGGTAGATGAGGCCAAATAACCTCGAAACACGTTTTCTGGTGGACACCACCCAATACCTACTTACTGCATCTGTTGGTGGTGTTGGACGAATTGAACTAAAGTGTTGCCTCAGGCGTGTGACGTACGAGGTCGGATCAACTTCTCCAGTAACCCTTGAGTCTAGCACCATTTCTCCAGGAAGCCTGAGAGTAGTGCCAAAGACCGACTCAGCGGGACAACAGCCAATGTCTTCTTCAATGGTGTTAAGAATACCAAGCAAGATAATCGGTAGGCGTTCTGACCATTGTGAGTTCGACTGTGAAGCAGTAAGTGCGGTTTTATGTTGGCGATGGAAACGTTCAACGATGCCATTAGCAACTGGGTGATAGGCGCTTGTCCATAGATGGGAACAACCGAGCAAGCGGTTCATGTCACTTAACAAGACCGAATTGAATTGGGGCCCTCTATCGGTGGTAATGGTGTCTGGCGTGCCAAAGACGGAACTCCAATTCTCAAGAAACGCTGTGCCTTGCGGATAGTATGTATGTCTCTACGCCGTAGATCTAGCGATTGCTTTCATTCGGCTTCCGTACTGAGAGGGTCAACTTCAAGCGGGACCGTAAGCGTTTTTTCCTTAGTGCGTTGTTAAAGCTTTGAATTCTTGGCGACTCTAAGGCGGAACACGCGGTCAGCCAATTATCGTCCACATACCTGGCATTAGCTGTCCCCGCTGTGTCTGTGATGTGAACTAAAAACTTTCTTTAATTTCGTTTTACTTTTGTATAGGTGCAGAAAAGTAGGGTCAAAGGAGGAGTGGTTTAGGGAAGGGGTAAATTTTGTATTGCTACCCAATGGCATTTAGCTGACTCTCAACGCTTTTTTCTGTGTATATGTCAACTGCATCCTCTGGGAGTTTCCGCTTTCGATAACCCTGCGCGATGGTCGGATGTATGCCCTAATGGGATCGGAGCGCGACTTGATTTAGTGGCTGTGAAGACTAGACAATTTTTTGGGACGAAATAGCCAGGATAGGTACTGACCGATCTATCCCGTAAGAATATGGTTGGTAAGACTCAAGCCCCCACGAGTTCTCCGATAGTACATTGATTGCATTCTCAAACCACATAAATGCTCGGAATACAACTGTCCTCGTAACCATTGGACTAACCTGGTACCTAGTCACAACACCCTTTCTAATTCCAGTTTGTCTCGGCGAATGCATGGTAGATGGGCCTAAACCAAACATTCTAGATCCAGTCACATGAAAGCTGAGAAGAGGTTGACCAACATCTCAGTTGTTGTCTGGGTTGCAAAATTACTTCTGATAAATCACAACATCTGAGACCGTTTGTTAGCCGCCTTCCTTTAGTGCTATATCCGGAGAGTGAAGAGTGGAACAATGGACAACATGTAGATGTATGTGATGAGTTCCGTGAGGAATTTCATTACCATCAACCTCAACCAATTCGTGGGGTATTCCGCTGCTTATACAATGTGCGTCTGAAACATTCCTCGTATTGTCCTATATAGTTAAAACTGCGCTGCTTCATGTGTGAGTGGCAGCCGCACACCCGTGCTGAGGGGCATGTGAACAAGCCCCTCTATCTTGAAAATCACCGAAGTGAAGCAACAATACACTTGCGACCAAGCTGCCGCAGCAGGTGTGATTGCATGAAAATGGAGCAAATGGGAGCGCATGAGGTTTCGCTTCAAATTTTTCCAGAGGACGACGGGGACTCTTGAAATGAAATTGCAAGTGGTTTACACGCCTTAGAGACGTGACGGAATGTGTCTAGGATGAGCCGCATTCGGGTCGACCGTCAATACGCATAATCCCAGATAACATCGAACGAGTGCGACGGATGCTTACGGATGATGGACGGCTTTTCTTGGAAATGATGACGAAGGTGTTGTAGACAAGCAAGGATAGTGTAAGCAGCATTCATAAAAGATGACGATTTTCGCCCGGTTTGTACCGCCGACGCTGACAGACGAGTCGAAGCTAACTCAGATGGAAGTGTCTGGAGATTTCATTGGTATATGTGACCGAGATCCGCAGTTTTTGGTGCTACCAATATGATCCGGAGAGAAAGCGCCCTAACTCGACCCTGCAAGGATTGCACCTCACAGACGTAGCAGATATCCAACGAAGCGTGAACAAGGTGCTTCGAGCGATACCACAAGAAGCGTCTGTTGACAGTTTCCAACAGCTTTACAACCGATGTCAGAAGTGTGTTATAGCCAGTAAATGAGCGGCGCTATATCATTTGTTTAAGGCATTCGTTATCGTCCCCCGTAGCTCAGTGGTCTCAACCATGGACTGGCAACAGTCGAGTTGCAGGTTCGAGCCCTACCAGAGTCCGATGGAATGCGCACTGCTGACGATCCCCGAAAGGATGAAACGCGCGTACAGTGCTTTTCCGGGCGTGTGACGGTTGTCTGAGTGAGTTTAGAGGTGACGAATTTCCACCCATGCCATACAACTCACCCTAGTACTCTTCTGTAGATGTATTAGATATGTAGCTCTTGTTCCCTTTATTTTCTGAGACCATTGACCGAACTTTTCAGGCACACCTTATGTACGCAGCACTGAACACTTTACCTGGCTTGTATGCAACAGCCGCAAATTAGGCCATTCCACGAGTTTTTTCTAGAGCCTTTCGAAGAGTCTCAGGATCCCAGGGACATCCGCAATATTCCAGGGCTTTAGGTCATTAGTGCGAAACCTACACCAGCCAAACCCGCTGAAGCTGCTTCTGAGTCACAAGGAAGACGCAGGTGATCTCTGGCTTTGTGGTTACTGAGGGATGTCAGCTTAAGCATAGGTGGTACGCTAAACAGGCTTGCTGTCCAATCGATTTTTGAGTGTCGCTACGTTGAAGCACGCAAGACGGAACGAGGATCGAGGTGGAAGAAGAGCCACAGGTTGAAACTCCATGGTTCGCCGTGCAGCCGGAATCGCAGGCAGATCCTGAAGCACAGGAATCGGTTAACGAATAATGAGGATTGTTAGTAAATGATCAATTGCTGTGTGATGAAGTCGCGTAAATGTAAGAAGTCAAATTAGGGTTTATGCACCCTTATGGGAAAATAACAATTGACAGCAGTAAACGAAAAGTTGCACCTTCAATCAAACTTGCGGTCACGAAGGCCGCCTTCCATTCCCGTTGGGTCGATTAGTAGGCGTGGTATATAAGGCAGGTCTCTGACGAGGTACGAGCATGTAAAACTTAAGGTTTTGACCGTGTGGAAGAAGTGGTGGATTTAGTGCTGCCTAAGACAACATATAAAGGGGGAGAAGAGTCATTTAAAATCCTGATTGAAGTTGACGCATACATCAACTTTTTTTAACAATGAAGCCAATGAGCGGTCCTTCCTTTAGTTAACAGCAGTGAGAACTAAATTTTAGCGAATGAACTGGGACGTAATCTTTTTGGAAGATACGGAGGGAACCCGTATAAGCGGTAAGGGAGAAACATGCAGTTCCAAATCTTAGAATTAAAGCACGGGGAACATAAAGCATTTTATGCCTGTGGGCATAAAAAGAGAACCTCCTACCTTTTTTACAATTTTCAAGAATATGTGTGGACCAGGAAAATTCGTGTAATAGGAAAACTCAGAGATGTTTTGTCCCGACCGACCCAGCCAAATCTGTATTTATGAGCCTGGGGAAGGATGCTGACGACCGAACCTACACCCTTGACGGCCAACCGCTATATCCCACACCCTCCGTGAAGGACCTAGGTGTACTCTCACGCTACGATTTGAAGTCCGTGGACAACAGGAACAGGTTATATCGTAACGGACTGCGCATGCTTTGGGCGCTCAAACGTAGATTCGGCACATGGTCTGAAGAGGTTGCCATTCGCCTCTTCTCTTCCATCCTTAGACCAATGCTAGAGTACGGTTCGCCCGCCTATTTTCTGATTACCTGAGGCGAGACACAAAAGATCGAACGGGTCCAACTCGTTGCTACCAGGCTCATCCCGAGTTTACGTTGCTTGGGGTATAAAGATCGGTGCGAAAAACTAGGACTCTACACCTTGTCCTACCGTCGGATGCGAATTGACCTCATTATGACCTACCGTATTCTACATCTCGGTGATTTCCCAATGCTAAGGCCAATGCTGCACTTACGAGGGCCATGCAGCACACGCGGATACAGATACAAATTTGTCGTGCCGGATGTGAAATGTGTTCCCCACCCACTGTGCTTCGAACGGAGATTGGTGAATATTTGGAACAGTTTGCCTAAACATGTGATTGAGGCAACATCTGTGCAGCAGTTCAAATAGTTGTTAGATTTATATTTTACCACTATTCGATTCAAAGAACGATTGCACACTTGCGATGACATATCACATTTGTGAGTTCTGAAATATCGTAAGTCAGATATTTTAGATGTTGCATGAGGACGACAACGATATTCACGGTTGACAACTTTTATAACGTTTTTCACCATATTTCGAAAGAGTTGT